CTAAGGCCACACACACATACAATGGGGGAAGTGACTAACCTAACAGGCACCCTGAAGTGGAGACTTCGTTATTGTGGTCTTTCTGCGGGCGGTCTTTTCCAGTCCGGTGAGGCGACTTTAATGCCAGTAACTCAGAAAGTAGAATTTTTGCTCACAGGACTCCACAGCTTAGAGGGAGCATTGGCCCAGTGGTACCTTTAAGACCAACAAAGGCTTATTCAGGGTATGAGCTTTCGTGTGCATGCATGCACACTTTTTCAAATACTTTTTGCTGGTCAAATACCTGTGTTGGTCTTAAAGGTGCCACTGGACTCTAAATTTGTTCTACTGCTTCCGATCAACACGGCTGCCCACCCGGAACTGTCTTCGTGTGTGCAATGTGGTACACAGAAAGTACAGTGAGAAAAAATTCCTCCCAAAAGCTATTTCCAGAAGGATCCCAGATTATGTCATCCATTGACCATGTAGACCAATGTCTTGGTTCCGTTGGTGCTTGCATGCACCATCTCATGCTCTACTGTGCTGCTGCTGAACATGGAAATTCTGTTTAGCTATCCTGATTTTGATATATGCCTCTCACATTTTTTTCATGTAAACAGTCCTACTAGAGCAGGCTGAATTTCCAGCTAGATGAACATCCATGCTTCACTGATAGCCACTGTCACTCCCTATGGAATTCTGGTTTACGGAAATGTTATCAAAACTCTCTTGTGGTGGTCATGGCAATTTACTTCTATATATCACATGCGGTGTGTTCAGTGAAACGGAGAGATTTAGCCCAATGCTTGCTGTTTATGACTCTGGTTGCAAAAACAGTAAAGACAAATAAATAAATCCCAATGGCAAAATGTCCTGCATGGTAAATTGGATTAATGTGATTGAAATGGTTCAAATGAACTGTAATTAAAAACACAATTCTGCCAAAACCTTCCTTAGCTGCTGCTCTGAAATTAGAATCTTATTAAACACACCATTGCCAAGGCTAGTGCTATGTACGTGTGTGCTATGTACAAAATGTGTTTTAAGCATCCACTTTATGGTACAAAAATCCTCTTTCTGCATAAGATTTGGAATTATCACATAATTGTTGCTTTCATAATAGTATGTTTCTTTTGAATAAGTTGATTTAAATTTGAGTATAACAGTTTCTGCGTGTGGAATAGGAGACTTTGTTTTTGATAAGTAAATCTAAACGTGCTTTTCTGTGTAAAATATCTGGCTTTAAAAATGCTGCCCGATCTTTCTAATAAATGATAGATGAATCAAGCAGGTACTTCAGTGTTCATTGATTTGATTTCTACCCCGCCCTCCTCACGTAGCGGTTTAATAAGGTGCTTCCTGAATCTACTGTGGGGAAAGGGTGATATATGCTCAGATGTGTCTTTGTTCAACCCCTAAATGCAACACCCTCCTCATAGCTCAGATTGCACTTCAGGCTTTGGAAAGGGGGCAGTAGAGAGGTCCCGTCAGGAAGGGTCTTGCCATCTCTTTTAGCTGTGTTTATTTTTAACTTGCGTGCCGCTTTTCCATTATGTTCAGAGCCTCTAGCGCACATACCATCTGGGTCCTTGCCCTTCTTGATGCACTTTCCTGGACAACCCATCTTATGGGGCTGCTGTTGCTACCACCACTGGCCACCATTTTTACAAAAAAAAACCCCAAACACTAGTGTGGTAGGGACTTGCCCTGTCTTCCTGGGAAGGAGAGCATCTTACCAGAAAGAAGCAGGGACTTGCCCTGTCTTCCGGTTTTCTCACAGCCTTCAAGGAACAAATGGGAAGGAGAGCATCTTACCAGAAAGAAGTCTCCCATCTGGATTCTCACCTGTCAGGGTGGCAGGTAGCTCTGACTCCCTCCTCTGCCAGCTAACTGCCCCATAAAGAGAGCGAAGGAGGATATCACTTTGCACACGCCTAAGGGGTAACTTCATTCAAGCATCAAGAAGAAGCTGGGTTAATCCTTGCATCCCTCCTCCTGTCAACTAACCCAGCTCCTGCTCAGATGTCCCATACTGGTAGGGCGAGAACTGTGCTTCATGCTACCCTTTCTTCTCCTCCTCTTTGTGCAGGTACGGGTGGAATTCATGGATGACACCAGCCGCTCCATCATCCGCAATGTGAAAGGCCCAGTCCGGGAAGGAGACGTGCTGACGCTGCTGGAATCGGAGCGGGAGGCTCGCCGTTTACGCTGATCCGTCCACGCTTGCCAGTACCCTTCACCCCCGGTAAGTGTGTCGCTGGCTTCCCCACTCCTCTGTCGAAAACTGTATCCCTCTGAATTAATTTTCCCTTCGAGGTTCCATTTTGCCCTTTCTGCCACCCCTTTTCTCTGCAGCCTTGAGAACATAGTCAAACTTATTTGTTTATATTTAAATTTATATCCCCCACCTCCCCACCGGATCGGGCTCAGGGCGGCTAACGATATATATATACTAAAACAGCATTCAATTAAAATTACAATATAAAACACCTATTGCAAGATTGCGACATTCTGTCATCCTTTGAATGGTCGCCTCGGGGCTCCTGCCAGGCTGTTAGTCATCCAGCTGGTGGCGATGTTGATGTGAAGGCCAGGTCGGTGGTGGTATTGATATTAGGGCCCTGATGTCAAGGTGACACTCTACTTGAAAGCCTGGCGGAAGAGCTCCGTTTTACAGGCCCTGCGGAACTGCAAGAGGTCTCACAGGGCCCTGATGTCATCTGGGAGCTCGTTCCACCAGTGAGGGGCAGCCACAGAGAAGGCCCTGGCCCTCGTTGTGGCCAACCTGGCCTCTTTCGTGCCCGGAAGAGCCAGCTGATTTTGGGATCCAGATCTTAATGCTCTCTGGGGCACATGTGGGGAAAGGCGGTCCCTTAGGTAACTTCCATTTTCAAGCGTTTATTTATTTTTACGTTCCAGGTGACATCAGAATCCTTGAGTGTGGCCTGTTGTGCCTTCTGGCTGAGGACCGCTGAGATCCCGATATATATACTAAAACAGCATTCAATTAAAATTACAATATAAAACACCTATTACAAGATGGCGAAATTCTGTCATCCTTTGAATGGTCGCCTCGGGGCTCCTGCCAGGCTGTTCGTCATCCGGCTGGTGGCGATGTTGATGTGAAGGCCAGGTCGGTGGTGGTATTGATATTAGGGCCCTGATGTCAAGGTGACACTCTACTTGAAAGCCTGGCGGAAGAGCTCCGTTTTACAGGCCCTGCGGAACTGCAAGAGGTCTCACAGGGCCCTGATGTCATCTGGGAGCTCGTTCCACCAGTGAGGGGCAGCCACAGAGAAGGCCCTGGCCCTCGTTGTGGCCAACCTGGCCTCTTTCGTGCCCGGAAGAGCCAGCTGATTTTGGGATCCAGATCTTAATGCTCTCTGGGGCACATGTGGGGAAAGGCGGTCCCTTAGGTAACTTCCATTTTCAAGCGTTTATTTATTTATTTTACATTCCAGGTGACATCAGAATCCTTGAGTGTGGCCTGTTGTGCCTTCTGGCTGAGGACCGCTGAGACCCTGGATAAGACTCAATAAAGTTTCTATGCCCCTCCCACTGCTTCTGCGTTGTGATTTGTGGTTCTCAAGAAGCAGTGAGCAGTGGCAGGCAAGCAGCGGGCGGGAAGCGTGGGCTTTACAGAACCTTTTCCCAGGTCCCCTCTCCTGCAGCTTCCTGAACATGGCCTTGCTTTCGTCCTCCTCTCCACCCTGCATTTTCGTATCCCTGCTGACATGCAGCTCACAAGCCAGTTTGGTGTAGTGGTTAAGTGCGCGGACTCTCATCTGGGAGAACCGGGTTTGATTCCCCACTCCTCCCTTTGCACCTGGCTGGATGACCTTCGGCAAGCTGTAGTTCTGACAAGAGCTGTTCTTGAAAAAGAGCAGTTTCTGTCAGAGCTCTCTCAGCCCCACCTACCTCACAGGAGCCATGTTGTGGGGAGGGGAAGGGAAAGGAGTTTGTCAACTGCGCTGAGACACCTTTGGGTAGTGAAAGGTGGGGTATAAATCCAATCTCTTCTTCTTCTACAAGTGTCATTTTCTTATAATCTTTGCTGTCAAGTCACAGCTGACTTAAGGCAACCTCAAAGGTTTCCAAGGTGAGACTAACTATTGCCTTCCTCTGCGTCCCCACCCTGCTTAAGCTTGGCCCATGCACGTCAGGGCACCTTATAAATAGCTACCTGATGAGAGTTCTCCGAAACCTTGAATATTGATATGTATGCCTTTCTCCATCTGCAATAAGAATGGAATGTGTATTCAAGAAGCTGCAAGGACGTCAAGAGCGAAGTTGAATGTGAATCACAACCCTTATCACCCAGCTCCCCAGAAACAAGGGAACGAGGGACTAGCTTCACTAAGGTCAGAAAGGATCCCGGCGTTCCCTAATGTTCCCATCGCTCTGAAGAGCAGATAAGCAAATGTAAACACTGACAATACATGGCACACAAATAGTAAGGTTTAAAGTCAAATGATGCTTGTATGATGTTAACTGCAGTGGCTCAAGTGGTTAAGATGCTGAACTGCAGGCTGGAAGGTTCGGTAGTTCAGCAGCTCAAGACCCGAGTGCCGCATGACGGAGTGAGCTCCCGTCTCTAGTTCTAGCTCCTGCCAACCTAGCAGTTCGAAAGCAAGAAATTGCAAGTAGATAAATAGGGACCACTT